TGTACCTCTGGTGCAAATTACTGACCTCTGTCATCATTTTAGGTGGGGGAACTTGCACAATCGGTGGCTGACTAAATACTTTTTTGCCCCATTGTATATAAATGTATTGCTGTGACAACCAATCCAACAACTGATTCAAAAAACTGACAGAGCCAGGATCAGTCCAAATGATCAGCAGTTTCAGCCATAGCGATAACATGATAACATGTAATCTCCATGTGTGCATGCTGAAAGAGACTGTGCTGGTCTGACTCCCCTCCTCCTTTCAGGGTGGAGCCTGCTGGAGTCCGATGGTTGACACCAGGTCTGAGGAAGTGTAAGTGTGCTTTTAATGTCATTCATGAAAACAAAGCAGCACACATTCAACCATCTTCAAACTGTCACATCACTGATTCACATCTCTGATGTCAGGAGTCATCATCAAAGTGTCAATCAATAAACAGATGATGGATCAATAACTGCAGCTGGATTGTGTTTGTTCTCTCCATCAGATTCCTGTCAACTCACAATTGACACAAACACAGTAAATAAAAACCTCAGACTGTCTGACGACAACAGGAAGGTGACATATGTGTTGGAAAAGGTTCAATCATATCCTAATCATATGGACAGATTTATTGACCGGTGTCCTCAGCTGCTGTGTAGAGATGGTCTGACTGGTCGCTGTTACTGGGAGGTTGAGTGGAGTGGAAAGGTTTGGATATCAGTGAGTTACAGAGGAATCAGAAAGAAAGGAAAGGTTAATGATTGTGTGTTTGGATGGAATGATCAGTCCTGGAGTCTGAAGTGCACAGATGATGGTCCTCTTTCTGTCTGGCACAATAAAAGCCAAATACCAGCCATCTCCTCCTCTTCCTCCCCCTCTAACAGAGTAGCAGTGTATGTGGACTGTCCTGCTGGCACTCTGTCCTTTTACAGAGTCTCCTCTGACACTCTGATCCACCTCCACACCTTCAACACCACATTCACTGAAACTCTTTATCCTGGGTTTGGCGCAGGGCTCATGGATGATTTGTTGGGATTTTCATACTACCGTGGTTCCTCAGTGTCTTTGTGCTGAGTTGAGTGTAAAGAGTGTCCTCCTGTTAGAGAAACACTCTGACTGTTGAACAGATAGTTCAGTCTGTACATGTCTGTCTCTCTCACTCAGAAACACATTTTCAGATTCATGGGTTCAATCAGTTGATGTTTTAAACTGTTCTAAATGATTCCTTGCAAACTTCTTCTTCAGTCTTTTAACGATGGAAGCTACGATTATTCCAGGATCCACGTGTTTTTTTTCCTGTATTTTTTCCCCTTAAAGCTTCACAGTGAGTATCACAGTGTTGAATGGACTCCCCACACACAATGGTTGTGCTCACACATGTCAAGTTTATTTACCACACACTCTGGCCAGCTTTTTTTTTTATCTCTCTTCTCTCGTCTCCTGCCTGACTAAGAAGGGAAAAGACCGTCATCAGTCCAAATGCCACACGCTGTGTTCTCACCTGCCTCCGCGGCACCGCCCTGTTCAGCTCACTGCACCACTCCTCCCCTGCAGCTGAGCCAGGGACCACACCTCCACCACAACCAGTATGTTGTGTTTCTTTGAAGCTCAGTTCACAACCAGCTCCTCTGTATTTTCAACAAGTCTGAGCTTTTTAAAATGAATCCAAATGTTTGATTTCTCTTAATGTGATTTTTCCAACCTTTTACTGCTTTTACTGTTCCACTCATTTTTGGAAACTGTGATGGAAGCAGGACAGGAAGGAAGCTCTCAACAGAAGCAGATTTTCATATTAAGAGCACATTTGAATGTTTTTTGCTTTAATTTGTTGTCAAATCCTGAGAACAGACAGGCTGTTTGGATGCTCCATGACTGAATAAGTGGACATCCAACATTACTCAGTGTATAAATCATTAAAGACATTCAGCATCTCTCATGTTTCTGTTGTACTATAAAAATAGCTCCTTTAAAAACTGATCCAGTCAAAGAAGCATTAACTTCCATACTGATCAGATCAATATGTACAGTTCTGATATCACCAAGTCCTCAGATGTTTTATCACCCTCTGCTGGTGAGAAGATGAACTACAGGATGTCAGTTTTGGGTTTTTTTAAATTTGTTTTCTGTGATCCTTATCTGTTTTGGATCCATTTTGCCATGGAAGTGGACTCCAACTTGGTCACACTGTGTCCATAATCATGCTCCAAGTAAAACCACAAGATTAACCTTATAGTGTTGAAACAACAACAATTAAAAGTTTGAGTAATAGTGAACCAGTTCCATTGTTTGTGGGCTCCTCGAGCTGAATCCAGCAGGTTATTTGGTGGACATTTAAACAAGCACGCATCTATAAGTTGAACGTCTCCAAAATCCTTTAAACAATTGAACTTTATAGGACAATTAGACTTATCCCTCTATGAAAACTCTCCAGCTGCTATAAAATGTTCAGATGAGTCTGAACAGGTGGTTTGTGCAGGCTCAGACTGTCTCTATGCCAGAAACAGTCTGAGCTGGAAACAAATCCGGTGGTTGTTTATTAATAGGATGCACAGGCCTCAGATTAACACTCTCAGCCCACAAATCCTCCGCTATGAAAGAAATACACAGGCCACCATCTGCAAATAAATAAATGGTCCACATTTTTAAAAAAAATTACAGATAAAATTATGTTAAAACTAAAAGAGAGTAATACAATAATAATATAATGTGGTCCTTACGAAGGAAAACACTCTGTCTTTCAGATTACTGAAAGTGGCTGAACTCAGCAGTACAGTGGGGTTATAATTAAATTCAAACATGAATTCAATGGCAGATTAAAACGCTGTGTTTAGAGTAGTAAACACCAGAAAGCGGGATAGTCATGTGGTTTATGTAGACATCAAGGACATCTGGAATATGTGAGCATAGGGAGACAGAGCTGTGTTTTTTAGTCATTAGTAGTTAATAAATGTATTGATCTGCAATAGTTTTTACCTCAGTGCATGTAGCATAATCTTTTGTGTAAATATAAGTAAAATATTCAAGGAACAGTGTTGTCAATTCTTCTTCCTTAAGTTGTCAAACAATAATATGACAATAATTCAGACCAAAAGTCATCTTAAACTAGACAGGTAAATGTATTGAGACATTAAACTGATTTTTATGTTTTTATTAGCCTTCTTAAATCAATTAATTGATGTTATATAAAGTCTGTCATTGGTTCCTATCAGTGTGTGTAATAAAGAAACAGGATTAGTTTTGTTAACACAGCTAAATAAAGCATAAAAAGTATTTAGTATAGTTCCCCATTTAATCTTGGGTGATTATATTTTCAAAGATGGTGTCTAATTTTAAATTGACCCTATGTTTTTAGTCTCACTTTGAGTCCTCTGCCATCAGCTGAGCTGTGATGTAACACAGATGTTAACTGTCAGCATGGCACAAAGACTCAAACCCTGATGATCCTCTAATCGCCTGAGCCAAGGTGTGAAACTGGGTGTGGGTCCCAATCAGCCAGAGTTTCGGGTGAGTTCATTGTGAAACCTGGCCCCACCTTATCATGCGAATTCCTGAGATCAGATGGCCCAGGATGTGAGTGGGCGTTAAGGCGTCTGGGAAGGGATCTCAAAACTGGATTATAGATGGCAGAGAGTTGGTGTCATAAACCACCGCCTCTGTTCAAAGATGGTCGCTCACAGTGGACATAGATGGCTCCTTTCACTCCTCTTAAAGAAGCCAGTGCAGCCAGTACAGTGCAGCGAGGAATGCCCAGACCTCTACATTGGAGAGACCAAACAGCCACTTCACAAGCGCATGGCACAACATAGAAGAGCCACCTCCACAGGACAAGACTCAGCTGTCCATCTGCATCTTAATGATAAAGGACACTCTTTCGAGGATGCCAATGTTCACATTTTGGACAGAGAGGACAGATGGTTTGAAAGAGGAGTGAAAGAATCCTACATTTTTAACTGTAGGACGTGCGGCAGCCCCGCAGCACACTTTCAAAGTAGAGCAAGGCTGAAGGCTACTAATAAACAAGGTATGTTCAACATAAAACCTTAGTTCTTTGTGTCACGAAGTTGTCTCTCTTTTACCCTGGCCACATCACCATACTAGCTGGTGCAACTAATCTGGTCTGGACAATAATAACAGTTTTAGATAGAAAGCATCTTAAAATTGCCTCTTTTTTTCGCTGAACATCTCCTTTGAAAGTAGCATCATGTGAGTCACACTTGTTAAGGTAATGCATGCTAAATGAGCCGTAGCTTTCAACGCATCACCGGATGAAGTCTTGCCGTTACAGTAGCTCACTGCGGGTATCACATTGCCAAGGGAACTAATAAAGCATACAGTGATCGGAATGATTTTGTATTGATGCAGGTTGTCATTGCTCATACTGAACTACTTAAACTCCAAGTAGACAATCGCTCCATTCCTCATTACCATAGATAATATCTAAGTAATAAAACAATCATTATCAAATTCTGATTTGCCATATATAAAGTGATTTTATAGGTAGGCTATCATGTAAAAATCTGCTACATAAAATTTATAACTGAATGTAAAAATACTAATTTCATTTTCATGTGGTTTAGAGGTCAGCTATGGATACTCGGCTGCGAGAATTTTTAACAGAGCGTAAAGTTGAAGAAGATGTGATCAAGAAACTTGAAGATGAGAATGTAAGCCACTGAAGCTGTTGGTGTGTGCGTGCGTGTGTCTGCGTGTTTGTTTTTGAACGGAGAGCCGCAATCCACAATTTACTATCTGGCTAACAACTGACTCTTGGTGGCGCTGTCACTTGTTGTTCGCTCGCTCTGCGGTAGAGTATCACTTCCTGTTCCTGCTCAAACACAGTGGTGTTTCTGAGTAGCTTATTTGCTTAGCAATTTAATTAACAACTTTTAAATACATTCTTTTTCATAGTATAATCTTCACGTGCTTCATCCGAAGCACACTTTCTGTGTACTCACTACCTAATTTATAGCCAAAGTATTCACTCACTGTCTCTGTACTGTTTCGCTAGCTTAGCCTAGCTCGTAGCCAACTCGTTAGCGCCATGGCTACTTCACCTGTCCCTCCTGCACTTTCTTGCTCATTGTGTCAGATGTTTAGTTACTCCTCGGCCTCC